ATCCTCCCGGACAGGGGCACGAACCCGTGTCCCCTGCATCAGCAGGCGGACTCTCAACCACTGCGCCACCAGGGAAGCCCGGGTTAGGTTGTTTATTTGAGATTTTTCTTGTTTCTTGAGGTGAGATTGAATTGCTATAAACTTCCTCTCAGAACTGCTTTTGCTGCATCCCATAGGTTTTGAGTCATCGTGTTTTTGTTGTCATTTGTTTCTATGTATTTTTTTATTTCTTTGATTTCTTCAGTGATCTCTTGGTTATTTAGTAGTGCACTGTTTAGCCTCCATGTATTTTACAGTTTTTTTCCTGTAATTGATTTCCAGTCTCATAGTATTGTGGTCAGAAAAGATGCTTGATATGATTTCAGTTTTCTTAAATTTTCCAAGGCTTGATTTGTTACCCAAAATATGATCTATCCTGGAGAATATGTCATGTACACTTGAGAAGAAAATGTATTCTGCCACTTTTGGGTGGAATGTTCTATAAATATCAATTTAATCTATCTGCTCTGTGTGTCATTTAAAGCTTGTGTTTCCTTAGTTATTTTCTGTTTGGATGATCTGTCCATTGGTGTAAGTGGGAGGTGTTAAAGTCCCCTACTATTATTGTGTTACTGTCGATTTCCTCTTTCATGGTTGTTAGCATTTGCCTTATATATTGAGGTGGTCCTATGTTGGGTGCATAAACATTTATAATTGTTATATCTTCTTCTTGGATGGATCCCTTGATCATTATGCAGTGTCCTTCCTTATCTCTTATAACAGTCTTTATTTTAAAGTCTATTTTATCTGCTATGAGTATTGCTACTCCAGCTTTCATTTGATTTCCATTTGCATGGAATATCTTTTTCCATCCCTTCACTTTCAGTCTGTGTGTGTCCCTAGGTCTGAAATGGGTCTCTTGTAGACAGCATATATATGGGTCTTGTTTTTGTATCCATTCAGCCAGTCTGTGTCTTTTGCTTAGGACATTTAATCCATTTACATTCAAGGTTATTATCAATATGTATGTTCCTATTACCATTTTCTTAAATGTTTTGGGTTTGTTTTTGTGGGTCTTTTTCTTCTCTTGTCTTTCCCGCCTAGAGAAGTTTCTTTAGCATTTGTTGTAAAGCTGGTTTGGTGGTGCTGAATTCTCTTAGCTTTTGCTTGTCTGAAAAGCTTTTGATTTCTCCATTCAATGTGAATGATTGCTGGGTAGAGTAATCTTGGTTGTAGATTTTTCTGTTTCATCACTTTAAGTATATCCTGCCACTCCCTTCTGGCCTGCAGAGTTTCTGCTGAAAAATCAGCTGATAACCTTATGGGGATTCCTTTGTATGTTATTTTTTGCTTTTCCCTTGCTGCTTTTAATATTTTTTCTTTGAATTTAATTTTTGTCAGTTTGATTAATATGTGTCTTGGTGTGTTTCTCCTAGGGTTTATCCTGTATGGGACTCTCTGTGCTTCCGGGACTTGGGTGACTATTTCCTTTCCTACATTAGGGAATTTTTCCACTGTAATCTCTTCAAATACTTTCTCAGACCCTTTTTTTCTCTTCTTCTGGGACCCTTATAATTTGAACATTCATGCGTTTAGTGTTGTCCCAGAAGTCTCTGAGATTGTCTTCAATTCTTTTCATTCTTTTTCCTTTATTCTGCTCCTCAGCAGTTATTTCCACCATTCTGTCTTCAAGCTCACTTATTCATTCTTCTGCCTCAGTATTCTGTTATTGATTCCTTCAGTGTATTTTTCATTTCAGTTATTGTATTGTTCATTGCTGTTTGTTTGTTCTTTAGTTCTTCTAGATCTTTGTTAAACCTTTCTTGTATTTTCTCAATCCGTGCCTCCATTCTATTTCTGAGATTCTGGATCATCTTTACTCTCATTACTCTGAATTCTTTTTCAAGTAGATTGCCTATTTCCTCTTCATTTATTTGGTCCTGTGGGTTTTTACCTTGCTCCTTCATCTGTGACATATTTTTTTGCCATCTCATTTTTTTTTTTTTTTGGATGGGTGGGATTGTGTTCTTGTCTTACTGGTTGTTTGGCCTGAGGCTTCCAACACTGGAGTTTGTAGGCTTTTGGGTAGAGCTGGGTCTTGGTGCTGAGATGAGGACCTCCAGGAGACCTCACTCTGATGAATATTCCCTGGGGTCTGAGGTTCTCTGTTAGTTCAGTGGTTCGGACTTGGAGCTCCCACCACAGGAGCTTCAGCCCAACCCCCGCTCATGAACCAAGATCCCACAAGCTGCATGGGGTGGCAAAAAAAAGAAAAGGAGAACAATAACAGAGTAAAAAATAAAATTAGACTAGGAAACTAACAGATATGTTAGAAAGAATATAAAAATAAAAACAACTTTTGGAAGGTAAAACAGAACCACAATAGTAAAAAAGAGGAGGAAAAAAAAAAGGTGGAAAAGGCCTTGGCTGTGGGGGCGGGACTTAGGCAGGGGCCGGGTTTTGGCAGTGGGTGGGGCCTATGCTTAGGACCCACAGAGCTGGAAAAGGCCGTTGTGGGGGGTGGGGCTTAGGCTCAGCAGAAGGGGTCCTGGCTGTGCCTCTGGTCTCAGAGGGTGGGGGACCCGGCCTGAGAGCACAGCAGGCTTCTTGGTCCAAGTCGGAGGGGCAAACACCCTCCGCTGCCCTCCTGCTCCTCCGGTCCTGGAGGGCCCCTCCCGCCTGCCTTTCCTGTTCTCCCCCAACCTCCCTCCTAGCCTCCAGGAGCAACACAGCCTGGAGGGCCCCTCTGAGGGTGTAGGACCTACCTGAGAGCCGGGCCAATTGGGCAGGGGAAATGCTCAGCGTATTCCCCCTTGATCCGAGCTCCTGAGGGTCCCTCCAGGCATGGGAACCCCTCCCCCTTCCAGCCACCCCTCCAGGGCACTGGTCCTGTCTGGCCTCCACTTCTCTTCCCCCCTCAGTCCCCCTACGTCCTACTGGTTCACGTGGGGGTTCCACCCATCTCCTTGGGCGTCAAGGTCTCCCACCAGCATCCAGCAGGTACCCTAGTTGTCCAGATTCTTATTCCATGTGGAAATTTTCAAAGAGATTTTACAGATCAAGAGAATGGCCTTAAAGCCCCTGTTTTAAGGAAGAGAGGAAGAGAAAGACTTTAGCCAGCTTTATAGATAAAACAATAAACACTCTTGGTAGTAGAAATTCAAACCAAAAAATGATAATTTTGTTGAGGCTCTGAATTTTGGGGAAATTAGATTAGAGAATACTAATGCTTAATTATGTATGAAATGGGATTCTTTCAGAGTCAGAAAGTATTTGCCTAAACAACTGCACTTTATGTTTTGTAATAAATTTGGCACTTTATTAGATGTATGTTGGGAGGTCAAATCACTTATTTTCTCAGTACTTAGATTTCTACCCCCATAAAATGAAGGTTGTACTAGATGATTTAAGGCCCACTTTATGATTAAACAGTGCATTATGATATTAAAGATAGTTCATAAATTTTGACAAAGAACAACATATTTTATTTACTCCATAAAAGCTTTTTTTTCCCAGTAAAATCTTGCCCATTAATTCTCTACTATGTATTCAGAATTTTTCCTTTCCTTCAGGAAGAATTTAATTTGCCAGCATAATAAGATATTGAAATTAATAATTAAAAGAAGATAATTGTAGCATTCTTAATGCTCTAAAATATTATATTTTGTTATTCTGTAGTCCCACATCTTGCTTTGCTTGTTTTTAACTTAAATCAGAGAGCTTGTATGGATAATTAATCATTTTCTTCTGTTTTGGCTACCTTGTTTTGGTTATCTGTGGTTCTTACAAAACATATTAAAATTTTAATCTGATTTATAACTATACTAGCAATGGAGATTTTTCAAAGTAGGGCATGGGGTGTATTTAAAGAAACAATGTGCTGTTATAGAAGGGCATGTTGGTTTAGCTGGAACCCCGCTTCTACCTACTAGTTGTAACCTTGTTAAGTTAGCCTGTCTATAAAAAAGAGGATAATAATCCTGTTAAGTTAAACCATGTGAAATTGCTGGAGTTTTGTTTAAAAACAGTCAAATACTGGGCTTCCCTGGTGGCGCAGTGCTTGAGAGTCCGCCTGCCGATGCAGGAGACGCGGGTTCGTGCCCCGTTTCGGGAAGATCCCACATGCCGCGGAGCGGCTGGGCCCGTGAGCCATGGCCACTGAGCCTGCGCGTCCGGAGCCTGTGCTCCGCAAATGGGAGAGGCCACAACAGTGAGAGGCCCGCATAACGCAAGGAAAAAAAAAAAAAAAAAAAAAAACAGTCAAATACTGCGCTATAAAGCTGAATCTAAATAATTTCCCCTGTCTCATAGGATTATTGAATTGAAGATAAATGGAGATCATAGAGATAGAAAGCTTGCTGAGGTGTCTGGAACACCCCATGAGTGGAATGTGGTGTTTTCTACTTATTATGATAGGGACAACTATTTGGTAAATTCAAGTTAATATCATCACTATTTTGATGTTTCAATGGAGAAAAAACGTTGCTAAGTGCAAGTTGACTATTCAACTGTATAAATTATACTTTGCCTCTTAACATTATTGGGGCCTGGGGACAGGCCACAGATCGCTCAAATTTAGTCAGATTGTGTGGTTTTAATCAGAGTAGAATTTAGCCACTATCAGAAACATAATTTAATTGGACATTATTTTATTCTGTAGAAGGTGTAACTCAGAATGCAGATGGGAATTAAAATGATTATATAACATCTATAATGAAAGCTCTTCTGTTCGAATTCTTTTATGTTTTTTTTAAAAAGGAGCCAGCCAATATTTCCTAGCAGTGTTTTTCTTCTGAAACATCAAAGGAGAGTATTCTGTCAAATAATATGTTCACTCTTTGTCAGGCCAATATTTTTTAAGTAATCAAAGTAGATGTGTTTTGTTAGATAGACAGCCGAGGGTTTTTGAAGTTCTATTAGCAGTTTGTATGACCTAAAGAACATCTTATTAACTGTGAGAAATACGCTTTCTACACTTTGACTTACCATTGGCACTAAAACAAAAAAGTGCCCATCACTTATCCCTGACTTGAAAGTTATCAACTGTGTGGAATTTTCTCACAGGCTGTTTTCTTCCCTGTTCTTTCTTTTCCTAATAGCTGTGATGGCATTTCTTTTTGACCTGAAGGCCCTCGTGGACATGATGTCCATCGGCACCCTTCTGGCCTACTCTCTGGTCGCAGCCTGTGTTCTCATCCTCAGGTGAGTTGTCCTCATTGCCAGATGGTTCTGAAGAGTGTGTGTCATGTGGGGCCTGGGAAATAAAGAAAATTAGGGCTCACTGACCTTGCTTTCAAGGAGCTAGTTGTCTCACAGAGGTGAGAGGCCATAGACATACAAACATGAGTACAAAGCATAATTAGCATACTTGGTCCTTAAGCAAAGAATCAACTAAAATTGATAATTACCAAACGTAGGCCTAATCTGTGTGAACAACAAGTTCTCATAATATATAAAAACACTTAAGAATACTATATTTTTAATCTCAGTGATCCAGCTGCTAAGCTTTTATGCTAAAGATTTAATCAAAGAGGCACACACAGATATATGCAATAGTGAAAAAATTGAACTAAGCTGAATATCAATAGTAGAATAGTTAATAAAATAGATAATCAACAAGGTCCTACTGTGTAGCACAGGGAACTATATTCAATATCCTAAAATAACCATAATGGAAAAGAATATGAAAAAGAGAATATATATATATATATATATATGTGTGTGTGTATATATATATATATATATATATATATATGTAAATAGACACTTTGCTGTATACCAGAAACTAACACAACATTGTAAATCAACTACACTTCAATAAAAAAAAAGAATAGTTAAATAAAGAAGGGTACATTTATCATTCGACTCTTCTAACAGCAAATAAAATGATATTTAATTATATGGAGAAATACATCAGTTTCTGGATGCAAAGCTATATGTAGCATCTGAATTTATTTAAATAGTAACATACATTTGCACGAAGAAATGATCTTTGCATATATATACACATATTTGCATTTATACCTGGCTGAAATTGTACCAAAATGCTAGCAGTGATTCATACTGAGTAGTGGTGTAATGGGTGGCTTCAGTTTTCTTCTGCGTACCCCCCTTTTTGTGTATTCTTTTCTCAGTGAGCATATTTCTTCTTTGGATGGGGGACAAATGTTACTTTTAAGTTTAACCAAAGGCTGCTCAGAGGGAAAAGACCACACTGGGGAGACTGGGCAGATACTAGGAATTGAAGCAGGCTGATATCTTGATGCCAGCTAAAGAGGAAGGGGATCAGTGATAGAGGAGAATGGGTGGGAGGTGGCTGTATGAGATGAGGGAGATGAGGCCAGAGAGACAGGTTGCAGTGAGGCCTTTGAAGGCCAAACTGAAGGCTGTATGTTTACAGCTGTAGCTGATATTTAACCACAGTTTCTGTGCTGTTTTTGTGAACTGCATCTCCTTTGGACATAGATATTTCCAGAATAATCATCCTGTTGTCACACTTGCCTCGCTTTAAAATGTAACTCTCTTCGGCATCTGATGTACATAACTTTCTAATCAAGTGGCTATCAGAGGAAATTCAGAGTTGCTGCAGATATTCTACTGAGCAGGTGTGTGGCTTGCTTCAGTACCTTCTGGGGCTGCAGCCACAAGACGTATGGATTTACTGCACCAGCTGTGAATGGAAGTGTCTCTCTTAGGGTTTCAGATGCTCGTTTCATTTGGACCAAGTGTCTGTTGAGAATAAAGACACATGACTTTATTTGGGAATAGGTACCAGCCTGGCTTATCTTACGAGCAACCCAAATATTGTCCTGAGAAAGAAGCTCTGGGATCGTGTGCCAACCCTGCCTCCAAAAGCGAGTCCCAGGTCACTGTGCTGCCAGGACAGGGCTTCAGCCTGCGAACCCTCTTCAGTCCCTCGCTTCTGCCCACAAAACAGTCGGCTTCTCTTGTGAGCTTTCTGGTAGGATTCCTTGGTAAGTCCGCTTCAACTGTGTACATTATAAAGACCCAGCAGGTATATGTAGGTAGAGCAGGTATGATGTGAAAGAGGATGAAAGAGTATGTTAGCACTACCCTCAGTCCTGAGATTTGAACCTAACTGGTCACTGGTCATTGAGCTCATCTCTGTATTAGTGGGATAAATTGATTATATCTTGGTAATTGAAGAAGAAAGGAAGAAATTCCCTAAGGTGAGAGTGGCAGAAGTACAAATTGGTCCATTTTGTCAGCTGTGAGGATGCTTCCTGTGTGAAGCAAAGTACACCTGGCAATAACTGAACGGAGACCCAAGGAGACTGCGAGGCAGTATAGCAGACCCTGTTTGCCCACCCACAGTTACGTAATCATGCATATTTTCAGAAACACTTATTGAGCATCATTAGTGTGGCTGGAACTCTGCTGGGTACTTGGGATATCAAGAGGGATGGTCCGTGCTCTCACTGGGCTTTGCAGAACAGGACTGTTGGCCGCAAGCTAAGAGCAGTACAGGTTTCTCTGAGAGCACATAGGAGGGACCCCTAATGCAGACTTGATGGTCAGAGAAGGGTGGGTGGGCAGTGATGTCACTCTCTGAAATAGGGAGAAAAGGTGCAGATCATATATTATTTGTTTACATAAACAGTCAGTGTTTACAACAGCTGAACATGAACAGACCTGCTTTTCCCATTTGAAAAAAGGCAGGTAGCCACCCCGGACAACATCCCATCAATCCACGTGATCTCATCTGAGACTGTAGCCCATGAGCCGAAAGGCAAGATGGTAGTGCCCAGAGGGGAGGCTGGCTTCTAAGGGGAGACAGTCATGAGTAAGCGAGCCGTGTTTCTTAAATCAGGGAAATTAGCCATTTCTTCCCAGAATAAAAATGAAGAATTTTAGTATTTGGCAGAGCAGATCTATAAAGAACTTGATGTCTTATCAAAATGGACTCTTTGAACATAGGAGTCTGAGTGAAGGGCGTGTGCTGATTTTGTTTCCCGAACATGTCACCTTTGCAGCATTTCTCATTTTGGGCTTGAGTATTTTGACCACGCACGGAGTCCACACGATTGCCAGGCTGGAAGCGTGGAGCCTCGCTCTTCTTGTGCTGTTGCTTGTTCTCTGCGTTGCCATTGTGCTCATCATTTGGAGGCAGCCTCAGAATCAGCAAAAAGTAGCCTTTATGGTACGTGTCATGAGGATTGGAGATCCTAAATATTATGCACATTTTCTCTTGTACATTAGTTTTTGTGAATTGTTTCTTTAAAAAAAAAAAAGCACTTCTGATGACGTTAACCAGTGAACAAGAGTGTCACAATTCTTTGAGATGCTCCTTTTTGTCTAAAGTATTCTTTTCAAAAACTTGAATGTGCTCCTATCACATTATTCTATATAATAGTTAACAAATTTCTTGTCCGATATTCTGAAGTATCAGAAGAATAACTAGAATATTTTATTTTGGAAATTCAGTACCCTCCCAGGAAGATTATTTCCACCAAAAGCCCGTCCACTGCAAGTGAAATTATCTTGTCCCATTTGAACTAAGAGTAGGATCCCCCGAGATACCATGAGTAGCCCGAGTTCCAGAGGCATGCCCTGTTGATATCTGAACTAAACCGGTAAACCCTAAACTAAACTAAACCCTGAAACCAATTGCATCTTGGTGATGATGCAGGTGTTAGCGGGCTGGATAAATCCGCTGTTGCTTTGGGCTGCAGTAAACAATGTGAAATATGGTGCTCCTTTTAGTATTCTCAAGATGAGTGGTCTTTATTCAGGTTGTCCTTTTTGTGAGAATATAAACTTACTGCCACAGTGTGAAAGTATGTATGTCAAATTAGTTGCCACCATGTCGAAATAATTTGGGGAATGTGCTTTCAAAATTTGAGTATATTTAAGAAGATATTTCCCCCTTTAGGTTCCATTCTTACCGTTTTTGCCAGCCTTCAGCATCCTGGTGAACATTTACTTGATGGTCCAGTTGAGTGCAGACACCTGGATCAGATTTAGCATTTGGATGGCGCTTGGTAGGTCTTTTAATGTTTTTGCTTTCTGAACGTGAGCTCTCTTTTTCCGATGTCATGCACTGTGATTAGACAAATGCATCCACTCCCCCTTCCTAGAAATAAAGGCTTTTTTTTTTTCAGTTTCTTCCTTTCCCAATTTTTAGAACATCTGAGTGCTTACTTTTCCAGATACTTTTGTAAAATTCAGTTCTCCCAGTAGCCCTGTAAAACTCTATAGGTCCTATTTTTTCTAACTTCTTGAGAAAAATGAAGCCCCTAAAAGTCAAGGGATCTAATTTGCAAATGGCAGCCCTAGAGTCTGATTCCAAAGCCAGTTCCTTCCAGAGTACCAGTGGATTTCTGGCAACATTTTGAATGTGCTTATATCAAGAAATTTCTTTTCTGATATCAGAATGCCTTGGGGTGGAATTTGGCATTACATAACATGAGTGAGCTTATTTATATCCTGCACTGTTCTCCATCATGACTTCTTCAGTTTCCTATGTGAAAATTGACTTAGAAATGAAGAGTTTAACTTTGTTGTAACTAAAGCACTGAGCACCAACTGTCTTTAAAAATATGAGTTGAAGTGGCTGAAAGGTGAAGCAGTGAGAAATGAGAGCTAAGTCTGCACTGGTTTTGGTGGCCTGAGGAGTTTGAGAGTTGATGCTTTTTTTTTTGCGGTACGCGGGCCTCTCACTGTTGTGGCCTCTCCCGTTGCGGAGCACAGGCTCCGGACGCGCAGGCTCAGCGGCCATGGCTCACGGGCCCAGCCGCTCCGCGGCATGTGGGATCTTCCCGGACCGGGGCACGAACCCGTGTCCCCTGCATCAGCAGGCGGACTCTCAACCACTGTGCCACCAGGGAAGCCCGAGAGTTGATGCTTTTTGACAGTCCTCCCATTGGCTTAATAAGAATGAATCTCTTATTACGAATGAATGAATCTCTTTTGTGGCTGTAAATTAACTTAATTTTAGTCTCAAGCCACCAACCCACTTGAGTTGATAGGAGATTTAACCTAGTCACTTTTGCCCATCCCCCCCATACCCACACTAGAGTTTTGCCCATATTTGGGGGAATCTGACACTGTGTCAAGGAATTGGGGTGCATCAAAGGTTATCCCTCCACGCAGGTTACTCTAGAGTATTCTCTCTGTCACTGTGGCCACTTCTGATAGGTGGCTCTGTTGCATCAGGGCCAGGATCCTGACGGGAATCACTTGCCAGTCAGCTCTGCCCTCCATAAGGTACCACAAAGCCATTCCTTTGTGATCTCGCCACCTCCCCAGGTGCTGCCAGGAAGCTGAGCCCAAAGCCCTGGGGAACAGGACCATAGAACTCTCTCCCCTACTCTGAGCCCAGAAGAATCTCTTTGTAATCTGGTGGAGAGCTTCTCTACCCTTCCTGCCTTTCCAAACACTGCTGCTTCTTTCTTCAAGCTGTAGCTCACTGAGGTTTAATCATGTACTTGACCTTGGTGAAGAGCATGAACTACAGAGCCAGACTCTCCACGTTTCAATCCACCCCTGCCATTTATTAGCTGTGTCACCTAGGTCATGTTATACCCCTGCTTCTGTGCCTCAGTTTCTTTGTAAAATGGTGATAACAGTACCTTTATTTGAGGACAAGGAGGGTTGGCTCTTCAGACCTCTAAGGACATGAGAGGAAATAGAATCACTCCTAATAACTGGACTTACCAAAATACTCATTGGTAGCCTGCTTCCCATGATTTTACATGGGAAAATTATAATGCATTTCACATCAACCCAAAACGCTCGACCAATTTTTTAAAATATAGCTAAAATACAGCAAAATGCCTACATATCTTGCGAGAATACTTAAAACATTTCCCTCTGATCCCCAGTCAGCATGGCTGATAATAAACAGTTGGCTTAGTACACAGTTTTTCATCCTCTCCTGGTGACAGTAACATGTGTAAGGCACACCCATGTCCCCTGTTCACACAGGGCATGCTTTCCAAAATATCTGACTGTGTCTTTGTTAACCCACCACTTGTTTTGGGGATGTATATGAGATTTTCCCCCACATATCCTTTTGTTTCAAGTGTAGTGTTGAGTGTTGAGAAAGTAAAAAAAAACATTTTCTACATAAACATCTGAAAAATATTTATTGAAAAAAACACACATATAAAGATTGCAGGTTAAAAAGGAAGAAGCAAATTCTCCTGGGAAAATGTTTGTCAGGGACCTTTTATGGGATATCCTGTACTTGCATTCCGTCCTTCTAAAACAGCACAGAAAGAGAAGGCAAAAGGCACTATGAAGTTCTGTATTAAATTTTCCATATACAAACAGCCATTTTCTGACACACCTAAAACACTGATTTTTTTCTCTAAAAGGTTTCCTGATTTACTTCGCTTATGGCATTAGACACAGCCTGGAGGGTAATTCGAGGGATGACGATGATGATGAAGATATTTATTCAGACAACATTAATGCAGCGACAGAAGAAAAATCTGCCATTCAAGCAAATGACCATCACCAAAGAAACCTGAGTTTACCTTTCATATTCCATGAAAAGACAAGTGAATGCTAGTACCTGCACGAGCAGAGCTGGTCCACAGTCTTCACGTACATATCCTACATGGAGTGAACCATGACGGATGTCATCGTCATGCTAGGTTGTCATCAGTTTGCTGCAGACACAGTTCACCCTAATTTATACTTACTCACCTGGACAGCACCTCCTCAGATGGTGAATTATACATCCAGGGAAAACACCCTGAGCTCGCTCCTCAGTGATGAATATTCCCCGAATAGTGGGATTGTGGGAGTGTGTGTGTGTATGTTTGTATATGTTGGGGAATATCAATGTTAAAAGTTGTTGGTGTTTTACTATTATTGTATTGCATTTTTTCAGTGTTGTCATTAATCGGTAGCGTATACTGCACATACTGAAATGGAGATAATCACGGAATAGAAAAATATTTTGTATGTGCTGGGTGTGGTTGGGGAAATAGCTGTTGCTTTTCCTTATTAGGCTTTATTAATGTCAAGTTAGAACATGCTAAAAATGCATTTACCCATCACAGTGTCTGTCATTGGTCTGGAGTAAGAGGAGGGGATAGGAAATGAGCCTTTTCTACAACTTATAAGTGCCAGCAGTGGGTTTAGTACAGATTTTTCTTCCGTGAGGTGTGACAGTTTGCTAAAACCTTCGCCAATAGGAGTGTTCGTGTCTGCTGTACTGCGCAGGGCAGGAGTGGCCCTCTGTGTCATCAGATGTCAGGCACCCCTTTGAACTGCTGTCTTCTTTGAGAACAGTGGTCCTTAAATGTGAGGCCTTCACCTTCTGTGAATGATATATTCCCCCCTGCCCTGTCCCAGTCCAGTCAGAGGCTTGGGAGAGGTAGTGTGATCTACTTGGGACCCTTTGTGCTAGAGAGTGAGTGTGGTCCCCGTGGGCAGGAAGCTCATGTAAGTGGCAAAGATGAGGATATGTTTGAAGATCAGAGTAGACATGTGCTTGGACAAGTAGACCCCAAGCACCCCTTTTTAAAAAGTCAGTTAAAATAAGCCAGTAGAATCTCCCAGATCACACAACTGGTGGAATGATTCATACTTTTTTCCATTACTTAATAAACAATCACAGTTCAACTTTTTTTTCTAACTCAGTAGCAAATTCTCTTTCTACTATATGAAAAAAAAAAAAAAAAAGGAAAAAATGAAGGGATACAAGAAAAGAAAATTCCCCTATTCTGATTTTAAAGTGCCTATTCAGTTATTAAAGGGCATTTGACCCAATTTTAGGGATTAGATCTAATTTGCCTCTGATGTTTCTTTTGGAAACAGGGGTGTTTTTCTTCCCCCATCCCATAAATTGTTTAGCACTTTTAATTTCATTTATTTTTAAATGACCACACTAAATCTATTGATACAAGCTCTAGTATTCTACAAAAACCCATCAGTGGTTGGGGAATAGAATATTTTGGTAAAATACATGATCGTTTAAAACGTCAAGCTGAAAAATTAACCAAATTGAATTAAAGCCATAGAAACACAATAACCTTTGTATGAGTAAATAATTTGTTTTTAAATGTAAGATTCTCTAATTACTGTATTTTACTTTATAGGGTTCTCTAATAGTGGACTACTTATCTGCAGTGTGTTTTGCTTCTCATGAATTATTTTTCTTACAAATAATTATATGGTTCTCTAGATAAGACTGAGTCTAAACACTTACATATGTATGGGTTATATTTCCAGGAAGAACATTATCAAGCCCAGGTGACCAGCTTACTCCAAAGGCAAGGAAAACATTTATTTTCTGACAACTTTTCCAAGAGATGTCACTTTATTTTTTTCATTAAAAAGAAAGTTATGATTGTTGAGGAGTTTATTGTGATTAAATATCCAATAAACAGGTAGAAGGCCTGGGTTTCTGGCTGCTAGTGTTGTAGCATCTCTGACATAGAACTCAGTACTAACATTCCACAATTTCCAGGGTACACACGGTAAAATCTGAAGCCCAGAATTCTTTTAAGCTGCATGTTTTACTGGAGAGGAAGAGTTGGCTATGCAAGGGGTAAAGTATTTCTGTAAAGCACTGTGGGCCTAATCATAAGTCCTTGCTGCTATTACAGTATACTGAGAAGACCTTTTTTTTCTGAAATCATCCTAGAACAGGCCCTTCACCCAGGGAACATGAAGAATTTCATATGTGAATATTAAAACTTTTACTGTAACAATATCAAGAAATTTGTTTAGAACATTTGTTTAGACAGGCAGCTAAAACTATTATGCCCACTGTGTTCAATTAGGAGCAGAATTTAGTTAAAAATTATTTTTCTACCTTGAAACACTTTACAAATACAAATGTCTATGAAAAGATGCTTTGTCAGTGACTATGCTTTTTTTCTGTGAAAACTCAAATGTATGTTCGTATGTATGTGTGAGTGTGTACATATACACGTATATATATGTGTATGTATATTTCAAACGTCAGTGTAGAAGTCAGCTGGGTTTAGGATGGGGTTTGGAAAAAATATTGTTTAGATTTTAAAAACCCAACTGATGGAGAGAAAATAATGTTTTATATTGATAGGTATGCTTATGCAAAATTTTTAGGTTTTAAACTATTTTGAAATATATAGCGATTTTATATGTATAATATTTTCTATAGATAGATTCTTTAAGAAAGATATATTTATAATGTTTCTAATATGAAATCACTGAAGTCTGCTACATTATACCAGGAGCTTTATAATCTGAAATGGAGTTGGGGGCGGGGGCATTAGGGGATTTCTGTTTATTGCTTCTGCTGCACCTTTTCTGACGTTTCTGTCTTGGTTTGTGCTTATTAGGAAAAGCCAGTACTACCAGGTCTTTTATCACCTCTGTGTCCCTACATTTGAATTTATAACCCTTTGAACAAAATGTTGTTTTCACTTTCCTAGGATTGCCAAAATGTTCTGTACAGGTTTTACTAGTAATCAGTCACACTTATATAAAGTCCTTTCCAGAAATTAAAAAATACATATACATTCTCTTAATTGTGACTGAGTAAAAACAGCTTGAATTACCTTTCTTTTTTGTGCTAGGAAATATGCTCTCTGAACATTCTCAGTGAAAAACTTTAATAATAGCACCTTTATTTTATACTCTTAAAAAAGAAAGATGATTTGTGAATAACATACAAAGGCCATGCCTACCCTACATTTAACTAGGTAGCTATGCAAATCCAAGTTTAAAAACTATTTATGAGAAAATTTAGAAGTTTTGATGTATACTGAAACACAGAGTACTGCTTAATCACATTTTCCCCAGAGATGAATATCAAGAAAAGACCAAAACATCATTTGAGGTGTATACATTAATGAAAAACTAATGATGATATCTATAAAACTTTACTGTCATCAACCACCCTTGATAGAAAATGTTTCAGAATTACCTTCCTTTAAAAGACAAGGGCCTGTCTTCTGCAAATTTTTCTGCATAAAAGATTTTTAAACTTCTTTTATTTTAAATATTATCCAAAATATCTTCTAAGTCCTGGGTATTTACAGGTGGACGTTAAAATCTTTTGAATTAGAATTTGTATTTACCAAACTATTTTCAAAACATATTTGAATGCAGGGGGAATAAGGAAAAGTAATCGCCCACCAATGTTGGTAGTGCCAGAGGGAGCAGATTAGTCTTAGCTTTTTTCCCTCTTAGATCAGCACATTCTGAGATTATAAACCACATGATAAAATTGTGCCAAGATTCCAACTCTGACTTACCTGTGATGTTGCTTCTGATGTTCTCTGTCTGGGTTTCTCCTGATGTGCTTCAAGCGACAGTACAATTCAAACTAAAAACACAGTGTCCACAGAATTTTAAAGGATTGGGTTTAGAGTGTGCATCATGGAACATTAATATTCACATGATTAGTGTGAATTTCTTGGGGGGTTGTGATTAACTGGGTTTTTTGGTTTGTTTTTGGTTTTTGACTAGTGCCAAAATAGTGCCTTCTCTGTATATTTTCTACCTACGTTTTCTAACTTGTCCTAAAATATCAAGGGAAAAAGTACCAAAGTTCATGTAGGAACTAATGCCATCACAGGTCATTTTTCAGACACGTAGATGTGAAAATGAGGTTGATTGACTTTGTTGTTTAGCTGAGTTTTTTTTTTTATCTCCTTGTATATCATATTTAAACATTTTTTAATGGCTTTCTGAATTTTGAGAGGCCTGATCTGTTATTGTTGTGGTTGTTGGTTTAGTGGTTGGTTTTCTTAACATTTATTATTGTTCATATGTACACAGTCATGTTCATATCAAATGCATTTTGTTATGGCTCAACCCAATGGCAACCCTGTTTGCTGGGAGCACTATCTTTGCTTTTATTCATCACGGCTGAAGCCACTGCCATAATCTCTGGCCTTAAAGAGCCTTCACTGACCACTGACAGCAGCTCCATGGGGTTCATAACCAAGACCCTGGGTCAGGCAGGCTGCAAAGTATGAGCGTCTATAGCTACCCCGTTGGTGGGAGCTTGTGATGACAGGGTAGGATATGAAGTGAAAGACTTCACATGAAACTAAGGTAGTTTGGGGTCCTTAACTTCAGCCCCAAATAGCCCATGAGTACAAGGTAAATGATAAGGACCAAGGAACCTCTATGACTCGTGGAAAGGATGGCTGCTTCCTGGAACTGGCACCACTGCAGTTTCTGCACCAGCACTAAGAGCCTGGGCAGGAAAGTGCATGGGCCTTGGCCCAGTTGGTAAAGAACCTTGTGTTGCCAACAGGACAGGTTTCTCTGGCCTGTGCCTGGTTAACAGGCTCTTCATCTTTGGTGCCCAATTGTTTCATTGCTTTATTTTGTTATCATTGTACTTAATAGAAGCTGTTGATAGGGCCTAAAACCCTGCAGAAATTCTATGTCTGTAAAAACCAACAGATACATTGGCCTTATGCGAATATAGAGATTTTTTTGTGTAGTAGGTAACTTTAAATTTAAATGTCTTTAATGATAATCAGTGTTCCTTATTACTTATAAAGTTGGATTATTTTTTAGAATTTGTAATGAATAAAAACTGCTGCTGCTTTACCACTGTAAAATATGCTTTCTAACATGACCATGTATTTTTAAAATAAATTTTAATACGACTTATAATAGTGTAGTATGCATATGTATCACACCTACCAAAAGCATACATTTCACACTTACCTAATTTAAACTGCCTTTTTATTTAGGAAGCTTTACAGCTCAGAAATATATCAATAGTACAATCTAAATGGAAACAAATCTACTGTTGAGGATATTCACCTGGCAGCCTACCGTATGAATACCAAGTCCTATAAAATAAAAGAGATGTCTTCACATATACTCAATCCTCATGGCACATTCCAAATAATAACAGTTGCGCCTGAAGCATGCCACCCCAGGACCACACATCTGAGATCCTTCCACTTCAACTGTCATTTATTTAGTGGACCAATCTCTTTGACATTGCTTTTGTCTACAAGAAGCCCCTTGAGGTTGAGGGGCTTCCCCGGTGGCGCAGTGGTTGAGAGTCCACCTGCCGATGCAGGGGACGCGGGTTCGTGCCCCGGTCCGGGAATATCCCACATGCCATGGAGCGGCTGGTCCCGTGAGCCATGGCCACTGAGCCTGAGTGTCCAGAGCCTGTGCTCTGCAACGGGAGAGGCCACAACAGTGAGAGGCCCATGTACCGCACAAAAAAAAAAAAAGAAATTTTGTACGGTATAGTGAATAAATATTTACCAACTTCAGCCCTCTTTACCCTTTGATGGGGAGGGAGAAGTCAGAGTTTTCTAACGTGGCTCTAAGTTACTTAAAATTGCACATCTCCTAAATTAGCTTGTTTAATTTTGAAATGTCATTGTGTACACACTTAATTGCTATTGGCTTTTATAAATTGGAGGGAACACCATGGTGAATTTAATAAGCTTTAGTATCAATTTAGCCTGCATTGAAAACCAAGCTAACACAGCAAAGTATTTCCCAAATAGAAGCCTAAAACCTAATTTAGCTACTTGTTGGCTTGATTAGTATTGTTAACTAG